AGTCAGGCATGAAAATGTCAAAAACATTGATGTTGGTTGAACCTAACTCAAGTGAGAAGGAAAGGGCTCAGAAGTCGTTGGAAGGAACTGTTATAGGTAGGAAGGGTGTTCGTCCTTACTGTGGGAATCCCAGCCACTAGAGGAAACGTTGCAAAGCCTTCCTAGCAAAAAGGAAGAAGAATGTTACTTCTTCGTCATGTATGTTCTTGAGATTAACTTCTCCCATCAACATCTCGAGTTATTGACACAAGATGTGGTACTCACATTTGTTTTGATGTGCAGGGACTATGGCAGAGTAGATTGCTCGCCGAGGGAGAGGTGGACCTATCAATTGAAAATATAACATATGATGCTACATTTTTTGTAGGATCTTATCGTCTGATTTTGCCTACGGGCTTGTTTCTTGGAACTTGTGGATTATTATGATCTTTCTTCAGTTTCTAGAAATTATATTTCTGTGTCCACTTAGGACAAGTGAGAATATTACTTTACTAATGGATTATTGTCCTTGAGTATAAATAATATTCTTTGTGGAACTGTTTCATAATAATATGTTCTCAATATAGACAATAAAGATATTCTCAAAATAACAACTATGCCAACTGAGGTAAGTTGAATTAAACATACCTAAAAGAATGTGGATAGTATCAAAACTCACCTCTTTGTATACACCCGAGCATAATGGTGTATCTAAAAGGAGGAATATGACCTTACATGAAATGGTTAGATCCATGATGAGTTTTTAGTGATCTACCCATATAGTTCTAGGGCTATGCCTTAAAGACTACGACTCATGCATTAAATAGTGTGATGTCAAGGTCTGTAGATAAGACTCCGTATGGATTGGGCGAAAGCCCAACTTATCTTATCTAAAGATCTGGGGTTGCGAAGCTTATGTCAAGAAATTGAGTTTGAACAAGCTGGGCCTGAAATCCTACAAATGTATATTTGTGGAGTATCCTGAAGAGACCAAAGGATACTATTTCTACCATCCAGAAGAGTGTAATTTTTTTGTAAGAAGTACTAGTGGGAGAAAAGTAGAACTCGATGAAGTTCTAATACCATAAGATACATTAGATGAAAGATGGGAAGATGTGCCATAAGAGGTGGTTGAACATCGTGAGGAGGTTACTCCATAATTTATGGATCAAAGTGAACCACCTTAGATAGCACAGGAGGTACGTAGATTTGGGAGAGTATGTTATGAGCCCGAGGAATACGGTTATCTCGTGACTCAACATGGTGACGTGCTGGTCTACTAAGACAATGAACCTATAACTTACGATGAAGCTGTATCGGATCTAGATTCCGTTAAATGGCTTAAAGCCATGAAATCTTAGATGGACTCCATGTACCAGAACCAGTCATGGTTTCTAGTGGATTCACTTGAAGGGGTAAAACCCATAGGGTGTAAATGAGTCTTCAAGAAGAAGACTGACATGGAAGGCAAAGTGCATACTTATAAAGCACGACTGGTTCCCAAAGGTTTCATAGAAATTCATGGTATTGACTATAAAGAAACCTTTTCACTAGTTGCCATGATCAAATTCATCTGGATTATGCTTGCGATTGTTGCATATCATGACTGTGAAATTTGGCAAATGGATGTCATAACTACTTTCCTGAATGAAAACCTTAAAGAAGATGTGTATATGACACAACCCGATGGTTTCATTCTCGATGGACAAGCTAATGACTATGAGATTTGGCAAATAGATGTCAAAACAACTTTCTTGAATGGAAACCTTGAAGAGGATGTGTATACGGCACAACCCGATGGTTTCATTCTCAATGGACAAGCTAATGACTGTGAGATTTGGCAAATGAATGTCAAAATGACTTTCCTAAATGGAAACCTTGAAGAGGATGTGTACATGAAACAACCCGATGGTTTCATTCTTGATGGGCAAGCTAAAAAGATATGCAAATTACAGAGGTCCAAATATGGACTCAAGCAAATTTCAAGGAGCTGGAACATTCGTTTTGATGAAGCCGTATAATACTACGGTTTTTATCAAGAATGAAGATGAGACTTGTGTTTACAAGAAAGTAAGTGGGAGCGCAATGGCATTCTTAGTGTTGTATGTCGATGACATACTTCTGATCGGGAATGATATACCGAACTTGTAGTCGATAAACACTTGGTTATCCAAGTGCTTCTCTATGAAAGACTTAAGAAAAACAGCCTACATTCTTGGAATAAAGATCTATCGTGATAGATCGGATAGGTTGCTTAGCCTAAGTTAGAGTACATAGACAAGGTACTGAACAAATTCAGTATGGAAGAATCCAAGAAGGGATTTCTTCCGGTGGCACATGGTGTCTATCTCTCTAAGGATATGTGTCCTAAACCACACACACAATGAGAGAGATAGAATGAAGAGGATCCCATATGCGTCAGCAATTGGATCCATCTTATATGCTCAGATTGATGTCTCATGTGCATTAAGCACTTGTAGTGGATATCAATCGAATCCAACTGAGTGATACCATGCTGTATGCTCAGACTGATATCTCATGTGCATTAAACACTTGCAAAAGATATTAATTGGATTCAAGGGAGCAATGTGATGATATGTACTCCTATTGATCTCTTATGTGCATTCAACACTTGTAGAAGATATCAATTAGATCCAAGTGGGCGACACTAGATGAGTGTTAATGGACATCCTTAAATACCTGAGAAAGGACTAATAATATGTTCTTGGATTATGAAGGGGAAAATGAGCTCACTGTAAAAGGATACAGTTATGGTATTTTTCAAACGGATAAAGATGATTTTTACTTGAAATTTTGTCTCAATAAAGCTGTAGTGAGTTGGAAAAGCTCGAATCAGAGTATTACAGCGGATTTTATAACTGATGCAAAGTATATCGCATTATTTAATGCAATGATGTAGGTAGTCTGGATCAAGAAGTTCATTACTGAACTTCATGTGGTTCCAAGCATTGCTAATCCAATAAAGTTCTACTGCGATAACAATGGAGCCATTGTTCTGGCTAAGGAATCACGGTCTCACCACTAATCCAAACACTTAGTTGATTCAATCTAATCTGATAAGTCAATCAGAAAGAGAATGTGCAGAATTACAAAATACCTACTAACCCATTGTTGAAGTTTTTGTTGCAGTAGAAGCCTGATAGGCACTTGGGTCATTCGATGTTAAACACATGAATGATTGGTTATAGTGCAAGTGGGAGATTGTTGGAGTAGGTGCCGTAGAGTCAATCAATTATTGTGGAATCAACTCTTTGTAATGATGTTTATTAATCAATAAAAGGCATCGTCTACTGTATCATGTAAACCATAGTTGTATGTATTGATATATGTCCTTAGGATGGTAGAACTGTGACAAAGGTATCAAGTGTTTCAAATCTTGATAGTGAGAACCCTATGAGCATATATGGTGGCCATTCTAGAAATTTTCATAGCCCTAGTATTATTCTGACCAAGGACACAAATAATACAGTAAGACTATCATAGTGTTGAACAACCCTGTCGAAAGGTAGTAACTGATCTCACTTGTCAAGGTTGTTTGCCGACAACCTAGTGCAACACATGGGTGCTTGTTATAGGTAAGTTCACTGGACTGACCCACTAGAGAATTTCATATAGATGGCAACCCCAGTGTCTATGGAACAAATCATCTAATGAATGGTGGTGCATGTGATCCTTAGACTTGAGATCACCAGAGCGCTTTGTGCACCAATTGGTGTAGTTTGACATTAGTCTAACGTAGTTCTATTTAGAGCTATCAATACAATAGTGATTGGCTGCACCAAAGAGTGTATTAAGACTATGGTGGATCGACAAAGGATTCATCACTCCCGGGTACAAGAGAAGTTATCTCATGGCGCAATTCAGTTAATGACAATGACACTAAATCTGTGATCACAGTGAAATTGAGTTGTTGCTCAATCTAATTTATTATTCCGGTCATTGGTCTGGTAACTGAATACAAATATATCGAGAATAATTGAGGTTGACACTATTTCTATACCTCTTCTCCATGAGACAACAAATGATGAAAGGATTTGATTGTACGGTAACCATATCATTGATAGGTAGCTATTTCGTTGAATCCAAATATATCGGGTGGCCATGATGTCTTGCTAGGGGTCAATCTTGGCCTACGTGTAGTGAGACTATTAATTGGTGTTAATCGCAATACTGCTCACTACCGGTATGATGAGGAGCCTACGGGTTACACATATAGAAGATAATTTAAGAATTAGTTTGTGCAAGGGGCATTTTCGTCTTTTAGAACAAACGAGTATTTTGGTAATCTCATAGTGCAATTAAATTTGCTGAGATTGTTGCCTATATTTAATTTAATATTAAAATTAAAATTAAATTAGTGAGATTATGTTTAAATATATGTACATATATTATAATGAATTATTATTGCTACTTAAACGTTAATATATTTTATAAATATATTAATGGACTTTAATTATAATAATAATTAATTTAAAATAAAAATACCATAAGAGGGGTGTTTGGATACAAGGGTTAGAGCCCATGCCTATTCCTCATTGGAATAGGGTTTTGACACATGCACTATAAAAGTGCATGTGTGTTAAAGAATGAATAAGATATTTCATTCAATCAAAAAAAGAGAAAAGAGGGCAGCCATTTTTCTCTACACCTCCACGTTTCCTTGGGTCTTTAGATCAAAGATTTTCTTTGATTTTGAGTAGATTCTAGAAGCCCAAGAGAATCTAGCAAATCCTTCTTTGGTTCTTTGGATTGCCTTCGTGTGAATCACCATTCGTTCGATCCTATTCTTGGATCGGTAGCAAAGTAGATTCAAAGACATTTGAAAGAGCCTCCAAACGCGCGTAAGATCTATGATCCTTGTCTGGATTAATGTTATATTTGTTCTTTTCAATTTTAAGCATGTAAAATATATACGTATCAGACCCTGATCTTGGGCTATTCAGAGTAATCGATAGGAAATATGTTTGTTTTTCGATACGTTTACCCACCGATCTACTTACATGTATGGCGATTGGCTTGAGTATAGTGTGACCAAAGATGCTGCACTTTGCTTGTATTTTTATCTTCTTAGACCTACCATTATGAGCCAAACTGGTAGGGACTCTTTCATTAGTGAGGGATTTCGTAGTTGGAAGAAGCCAGAACACTTTGAAATTCATGTTGGCCAGCCAAATAGTGCTCATAACCAAGCACAACAGAGTTGTGTGAATTTAATGAATCAAAAGCAACATATTGAAGTGGCTCCCTCTAAGCAATCAGATCAAGTTCGGACTGAATACCGAACTCGCTTGACTACATCCATTGTTTGCATTATATTTCTTTTGCGTCAAGGGTTGGCATTTCATGGTCATGATGAAACTAAAGACTCAAAGAACCAAGGTAACTTTCTCGGACTTCTTCGTTTTCTAGCTTAGCACAATGAACATTTTAAGAGTGTTGTTTTGAAGAATGCACTTGGGAATCTTAAATTGATAGCACCAGTGATTCAAAAAGATATTGTGAATGCTACAGAAAACAAAACCACAAAGGCTATCATTAGTGATCTTGGAGATGACATCCTTTCAGTTTTGATTAATAAGTCTCATGATGTGTCAATTAAAGAACAAATGGCTATTGCCATACGTTATGTACATAAAAAGGGTCATGTGCTTGAGTGGTTTCTTGGCATTATACATGTTAGTGACACAACTGCAGTATCACTTAAGATGGCTCTTGAGTTATTATTTTCTAAGCATGGATTGAGTTTGTTAAGATTAAGTGGACAAGGTTATGACGGGGCAAGTAATATGCAAGGAGAATTTAATGGTTTGAAAAGTTTGATTTTGAGGGAGAATGAATATGCTTATTATGTTCACTGTTTTGCTCACCAACTTCAATTGACATTAGTGGCCATTGCAAAAAATCACATTTCTGTTGCTTTGTTTTTCAGCTTGGTTACTAATTTGATAAATGTTGTTGGAGGTTCATGCAAGCGTCGAGACATGCTTCAGGAGAGCCAAGTTAGTAAATTTGTTGAAGCAGTACTAGAAATTGGTGAAGTTAGCAAGGGATGAGGTTTGAATCAAGAGACAAGTCTAAAATGAGCTGGTAATGCATGTTGGGGCTCGTATTATTATACACTGATCAACTTAATCATTTAGTTCTCCTTTGTGGGTGATGTGCTTGAGGTTATTGAAGAAGATGGTTTAAATCCTAAACAAAAGGGTGAAGCATGTAATCTATTAGATTTAATCTATTCCTTTGATTTTGCATTTAGCTTGCATATGATGAAAGGTATATTGGCAATTAATAATGACTTGTCACAAGCATTACAGAGAAAAGATCAAGACACTGTAAATGTTGTGACTCTAGTCAAAGTTTCCAAACAACAATTACAATTGTTGAGAGATGAAGGATCGAAATATTTGTTGAGTGAAGTTTCTTCATTTTTCCAAAAGCATTATATTGTCATTTTGAATATGGATGATATGTTTGCAATTTGAGGGCGGCCACGACGGAGAGTTGAGCACATGACAAATTTGCATCACTATCGAGTTGAATTATTTTATACAGTGATAGATATGCAACTCCAAGAACTTAACACTTGTTTCACTGAGGTTAGTACTGAGTTGCTTTTCTGTATGACATGTTTAGATCTAAGTAATTCATTCTCTGCTTTGACAAGCATAAGTAGGGGTGTCGGCCGAGCCGAGCCGTTCGTGAGCTGGCTCGACTCAAGTAAGACTCGAATTAGGTACCAAGCCGAATTCAAGTCTACCCTAACTCAATAGTGGCTCATTTATGGTTTTTTTGCAAAAAATACAAGTTTTAGATATGTTTTGTGATTTGACATGCAAAAGGTTTAAAATATCATAGATTAACCCTTAACCCCAATTAACCCAAATCGTATAAACGATTTCCCGAAAATCAAAAACTCTATTTTCACATTACTAATCATCAAGAAACCCCGGTTTCCCCAAAATCACACCCAATCGCCCACAAACACAAGAACTACCCAATCGCCACTTCTCGTTGCCTTCTTTGTTGTCGATGATGCTGGTTTTTTGTGAAGAATTTGTGAGGAGTTCGTTAACTAGCGTTTCTTGACTGCAACAAGTTTGTTCCTTCACAAAATCTAGATTTTTTTTGGATCTGATTTGTGTAAAACAAGATCTGCAGGTTATATAAAAAAAGGGCCAAACGAACCGTAATCCAGCCAATTCGAGCTCTCGTTAATCGAATCATAATCGAGTTTTTCGAGTTGAGTCAAACAAGCTTGAGTCCAATCATGAGTCGACTCGATTATAAACGAGTCGAGTCACAAGTCAAGTTTTCCTAACTCGACTGACTCGTGACTCAACTCAAACTCGTCTAATGCTTAACCGAGTCAGGCTCGTTTAGGGTGATACTTGGCTCGTCTACACCCTTAACCATAAGTTGATCCATTTTGCCCAATTTTATCTATCTGATTTTTCTGCACTTGAGTTGATGGTACTTGAGAACCAGGCTGAGACTTATGTTATTGACATGCGTTCTTGTGATGAATTTGCTGAGTTACAAGGAATTGATGATTTGGCTAATAATTTAGTTCATAAAAAGACATTTTGTATCCATTGGTGTATAAACTTGCATTGGTTTTACTAGTTGCGATTATGATCATTGAAAGAATTTTTTCTGCAATGAATCTTGTGAAAAGTCGGTTACACAATCGAATAGGAGATCAATGGATGAATGATTGTTTGGTCACATGTATTAAGAAAGATATATTTGATACAATTGAGAACGAGATGATTATCCAATATTTTTAGAATATGAAAACTCGTCAAGGAAATTTTAACAAAAACTGTGTTTTTTTGAAGATATTTATTTGTATTTTGTAACTTTTTATTGAAGCTCATTGTAATGAAAAAAAAGTATGAATATAATTGGTTTTAATTTTTTAATTTTTTTTTTTTGTTTATTGTGCGCTCCCATCGAGTGAAATTCTTGGATCCGTCACTGCTTACTCAGGGAAATTTTTGATATATATATACAAATTTAATATGAAATGAGATGCTATACATATACTACTTTTTTGTGGAGGCCTTACAATAGATTGCCTAAAATGTTTCTTCCAGCTCGTTTGAGGCAACAAAGATACATTGCATTGTTTGTCCTCTCGCTATATTGCTTCAATGCAAGTTCGTATCATGTGCCACACAAGGCTCCTTTGTAGCATGATTTGTAGCCCGATCAGGTTTCCACTATGGAGTAGTGGTTTAATGCGCATGACTTGATCTTGTTTAAACTAGGCATAGGAATGAGGAGTCCGAGAAAGTGTTTTGTTTCTTTATTTGGGCAAATCTATCATATTTTCTTCTTAAAGCTGCATTTAAAAATAAAAAAAAAAAAAAAATTCTTTGTTAGTTTGTAATTGTTTTAAAAAAAGAAATTTTGTTGCATTTTTTTATTAATCAAAGCTACCATTTTTTTTAATTTTGTTTTCTTTGGTTCTTGTATATGCTAGCTAATCATTTTCTCCCACTAAATATGTAGGTATGATAGATTATCTTTAACTTTGGTGTGACGAGACACCTGTCTAAACCTCTACAGAAGATTAGGCATGGCTGGTCAGATAACAGGATGATGTTGCTGACAAAGCCGCTAATGAGGATATATAACATGTTGCTGGCCAACCTGCTAATGTTGTTGTCGAGGTTGCTAAGGAGGTTATAGAACATGTTGCTGGCGAGCCTGTTGATGCTATTGAAGATGATAATTGGGGGGATGAGGCTATAGGTGACACTGAGGTGGCTATGGGTGACACTGCGGCAAGTTTAAACTTTTCAGAAGATTTAGGAGAGAGTGGAAGTCCTTAGCTTTTTGGTCCATCATCATGCATGTCTGATATGGGTGAGGACTGTGAGGTTAAGCAACCCTTAGAAAAAAGGAAGATAACTCACTTGTTAGTGTTAGTGTATGCCCTAAGAATCAATCGTGTCGTCGGTTCCAAGACATTATGTTTTGTATATATATGTTAATGTATATATTTTGCATATACATTTTATCTTATCAATAGAAGAAAGTGTTCTTGTTTTACATGTGGTTTATTGCTTCATTTATATATATGTATTACATGTGAAATGTTCGGATGATACAAATCTTTAGAAGATCAAAATCATGAAAGTATTCTCTATATAGGTAATATTAATTGGGCAATAATATTACATAGTAGGAATGTTGAATGCCTCCATAGAATATCATGTGATGGAATTAATGTGGGTGATTATAAAAATTATATCACTAGGGCATTAACATGGATAAGCGGTTAGTGAACTTTTTATCGAATATGGCCATTTATGATGAATCACATGGACATTTAAAATGTAGTCAATGATTTATCATAAGATCGTATTAGTATATTATTAATCTTTAGACCTGAGATATTATGGTTGGAATCTGCATAAATGCATATGGTTCATATGGTGTATAAACAGGAGGCTGTGTTGTTTGTGTGAGGACAAGTGATAGTCAAGATGGGATCCATCGACTTGGTATAGATTGATATCAAGTTCCTAGACAAATGTCAAGATACATTAGAAAAGGGAAATCTTCGGTTGTGGTATATAAAATGTTACTTGAAAGGTTGTTTCATGGTGACACGTTCCATATGTATTGATTGTCAATTTGATATAAAATTAAGATAAAGATTTTGACATACCATGAATCCATTCTTAATTGGGATTAGACAACGGAATGATTTGATTATACAACGCGTATGATTAGAAAATGGTTCGTTGGAGTATATCTTCATTGTGACTTAGGGGTTATGGAGCATTGCTAGATGCCTACCATAATCGGTGAGAGTTTTGTTCATAAAGATTTATGACAAAACATATCTAAATAGACTATGATATTGGGCACATGGCTAGGCCATAGTGAACCTAAGAGGTCATACATAAAAACTAAGGAGAATGGAGAAATAACAAAAAAGAGTTAATTATCCAAGGTTGGCTAGCACCTACCAAGGGTAATAAAGTTATTTATATTGTTATCATTGAATTAGATTCAATGGAGGGTTATCTTAGTTATTATGAATAATTTAAGAGTTAAATTGCTAATTGGAATTAAATAGAATTCCAATTCATAATTAATCATTTTCTTTATATTAAATTGAATTTAATAACGGGTTGTAATTGTAAACATATGAACAATTTAAGGGTTAAATTATTATGTAAACAATTTAAGAGTTAAATTGTTAATTGTGATTAAATGTTAATCCAATGTTATTATTTAAAGAAGTTTAACAACTTCATAATAATTATGGAATTATTTACAACTCCAAAAACAATTATGGAATTGTTTAAGGAAGTCCAAAACAATTATTGAATCGTTTACAAGGCTACAAATATAAAGAAAATGATATATCAATTTTAGGATAGAGATCAAAATTTCTAAGAACCCTAAATGTCTCTCTTGGCCTAGTTCTTCTTTTACCTTAGTGTGGATACTCTTTTGTTTAATTTCTCTTGAAATTAAAAGTCTCCAAGGTTGCTAAGGACTTAAGATAACAAGTTATACCTTACTTGTTTTCAATTTGATTAAATTTTTTTTGTAAAATATGAATATACATGTTATAGTATCACATGCATCATTCTCCATGTATTCCATCTTTCAGTCAGGTCTTTGAGTTTCTCCCCCTGAACATACAAAGCGGCGAGTTAATTGCCCCATCAGGTTCGAAAATTATGAGATGCCTCCTGTGATCAAGAAAAAACGCTCTAAAGAAAATAAACTAAGCCAATAATGTAAGAATTTAAAATGGTTGTTCTGTTTCTTTTCATAATATTCTTTTATTAGCGTTGAAATTGTTGGCATTAGAGCATGAGAGGATGAGAATAGTAGCCTCTACGTAGTTGATTTCAAATGTCACATTTCCTTGAATCACGAGATAGGCTGAAATAGCCCATAGACATTTAGTATCTATCTGATGTTTCAGTCCATTTAATATCTAATGTACCATTCCATTTTCGTGCTTTCTTTGATAATACTCCCCTAGATTTGTTTTTAACTAAGACACAGTCTGCAGTGTATG